AAAGCTATAATTTCATCAACAGGAAACAGTACCATGGTTTTAGCTGTATAAAACATAACAGGAACCAAAAGCTTGACAGATGTAAAGAATGTTTAAAGCTCTTGGCCACAGCAGAGTGTAACTTTACCAGGTAACACTGTGTATACATTGCAGTAACACCAGTTTTCCAAACTTACATACTTACATATAATAAATTTATGTAATAAAATGAACACTGCTTAACATGAAGAAAGACTGTAGTGAAGACCAGTGCTCCACAAACATATTAAAACAGCAGAAGCAGCTCTCCTTTTCTCTCTAACTGCTCATTTCCACCTCATCCTTCGTGCCAATATCTAAGAGTCTGTGATGCCCTGGACCATGACAAGGATCTCAGTTAAGACTAAGGGATTGATTTCCCCAGGCACCAGTTACTCAAGGAGTCAAAGATTAAAATGAGCATTCTGATGAAAATCATCAGTCACGCTTTGCAAGATGCCATGAACAAGAGCTTGTTTTTACTTACACTTCTGCATATCATAGAAGTCTCAAAATGTTTAGCACACAACCTGTAATGCTTGTTGAGTTGATCTGGAGTTTTATCTTCTAAATCTGCTCTTCGACAGTTCTCTACCCATCTTTGACACCTGCACATAAGCAAAAGAATTAGCTCGTTTTAAGAGAAAAAAAAATCCTCCACGACTTCAAAGTGTACTCAGAACTGAAGTGAGGTGAGCCCTGCCCTTCACAGGAGAGTTCTGTATACCTTCTGTCATAACATACCAGCAAATCTAGTAGAAAGCTGGTTTTCACCTGCTCACCACTTAACACCACCCCAGCAAATTAAGGAATCTTTTCCCTTAATCTAGATATTCAGGTTAGATATAAGATATATAATAATATAGATATATAAGTCTTTTACTGTGAGGGTGGTGAGGCGCTGGCACAGGATGCCCAGAGAAGTGGTGAATGCTCCATCCCTGGCAGTGTTCAAGGCCAGGCTGGACAGAGCCTTTGCCGACAGGGTCTAGTGCGAGGCATCTCTGCTCGCAGCAGGAGGGTTGGAACTGGATGATCTTAAGGTCCTTTCCAACCCAAACTATTCTATGATTCTAGGATTCTCTATTCTTGCCTTTGTCTCACACACACCAGGCTGTTCATGAAACCTAACCATTTAATTCTCACTAATTCAATCCTTAAAGAAAAAGCTAAAAGAGAAAGATGATCTTGTAGACTAAAGTCATAAAGCTTTCAAAGGCAGCTATTAAAACTGTTGTCTTTTCCACCTCCCTCCAAAATACAGCATTTATCATTATCGTGAGCACTGGGGAGTTTGGAGTAGATTTTTAAACAGTGAAATTTTAAATTTTACTAAAAATAGAAGAGAAGGCTGCATGGAACCCTCACAGTACCCTTCCAATATCTGAAAGGGGCCTAGGAGGATGCTGGAGAGGGACTCTTCATCCGAGACTGTAGCGATAGGACAAGGGGTGATGGGTTCAAACTGAAACAGGGGAAGTTCAGGTTAAATATAAGGAAGTTCTTCCCTGTGAGGCTGGTGAAGCCATGGGACAGGCTGCCCAGAGAAGTGGTAAATGCTCCATCCATGGCAGTGTTCAAGGCCAGGCTGGACAGAACCTTGGATGCCATGATTTAGTGTGAGGTGTCCCTGCTCATGGCAGGGGGTTGGAACTGGGTGATCTTAAGGTCCTCTACAACCAAAACCATTCTATGATTCTACAGACAGCGTTCACATGCCTGTAGTTTTCCTTAGACGCATATTTTTACATTTACTTTTGCTCTGGATTAGTTTTCTGAGATATAACACAAAGCTAATTAAATATTTTCCCTAGCAGGGACTCTTTTAAGATATAGAATCATAGAATAGTTAGGGTTGGAAAGGACCTTAAGATCAACAAGTTCCAACCCCCCCCCCCAGCATGGGCAGGGACACCTCACACTAAACCATATCATCCAAGGCTTCGTGCAACCTCGTTTTGAACACTGCTAGGGATGGAGCATTCACAACCTCCCTGGACAACCTATTCCAGTGCCTCAGCACCCTAACAGGAAAGAATTTCCTCCTTATATCCAATCTAAAAAAAATCTATGAAAAATACTGTTTCCTCTGGTGAGCAAACCACTTGCAGTAACTGATACAAATGCATTAGTCAGCTCTTATTTTCCTCAACAGGATCTATGCAATCACTTTCTTGCTATGGATTTTTTAGCAACAATACATACAGACTGATTATGCACAGCTACTCCAGTAAAACTCATCTGCTATTTTATTTGTTCATTTATATATTTACTGCACAGGACTCCAGCAGCTACTCATATCTCTATCTGGAAGCTGAGAAAAAAAAGTCATTTCCTTCCTCAATAGGAGTGAAGAGTGAGCAGCTGCAGCAAAGAAACCCAACAGGCTGCTTGGGAACATCAACAAGGGCATCACCAGCAGAGATAAGGATGTCCCTGTCCCATTCTACTCAGTGCTTGTCAGGCCACCCCTGGAATACTGTGTTCAGTTGTGGTCTTGCTGCACAAGAAAGATACAAACAGGCTGGAGAGGGGACAGAGAAGGGCCACAAAGATGATTCACTGACTGGGCAGTGTTTGAGGAAAGGCTGAGAGAGCTGGGACTGTTCAGCCTGGAGAAGAGAAGGCTCAGGGGAGACCTTATCCCCATGTGCCAATATTTAAAGGGTGTCTACAAAGATGATGGATACTCCGTTTTTACAAGGAGTCCCATAGAAAAGACAAGGCATGATGGGCAAAAGTTACTCCTGGGGAGATTCCCACTGAACACAAGAGGGAAACTTTTCCAAATGAGAGCAACCAGTCACTGGAATAATCCCCCCAGGGAAGTGGTGACTCCCCAGCATTGGGCACTGTTAAGATTAGGCTGGACAGGGTGCTGAGCCATCTAGTCTAGTCATGCTGTGCCTGGAAAGGTTGAAGCAGATGATCCCCGAGGTCCCTTCCAACCTGGGATTCCTATGAGTCTGTAAAAATAATGCACTTCCTTACACCTCGTGGCATCACAGAGCCACTACTTTACAACAGCTGTAAGTAAACAGTTGGTAACATACAATACAGATGAGTAAAAACCTTCACATGAACACAACTACAGATTTATTTGTTCGTTATTTAACTATATAGGGTGGTTACACAATCTCTCCTTCCTCCCAGGCTAAATCCTTCCCCAAACTCAAGAACAGAGACAACTCCATTATAAAGATTTATAATAATATCACAATAACTCTACAAGCAAAGAAGGAGAAGGAACTTCCACTTCAGTCTCAGACTTATTTTACTTTACTATCCATCACTTTGCTATATACTAACCATCATCCTTGTAATCCTGTGGTAACTGCCTATCACACTGGTGTCCTGCTGGCACGCACGTATCTCATCGTCCAGCACCATATCACCTCAATACACACTGACACATTTCCACCCCTGAGCCAGTGCTGGGCTCCCCAGCCTCATCCCCCCCCAGCTGCCCAACACCTCCAATAGTCGTACACCCATCCCATTGCTGCCACACAGACGTAAGAGACATGCAACCCCATACACCCTCCCACACCTCTCACAGTCAGGCAGCCCCCACTGCCTGACACTCTTTCATAGCCATGCACCTTCCCACTCCCCTCACATCCAGGCGGCCCCTCAGTCCCCTCCATGGCCCATAGGACCCCACTCTCCCCTCAAGGCCGGGCAGCCCCCCAGCTCCCTCCATGGCCCATCGGACCCCCCGCTCCCCTCAAGGCCGGCCTCCCACCATCACTCCCACAAACCCCACAGGGCCTCCCCACCCGGGGGTGGGCAAAGCAGAGGCCCCGGCAGCGCATGCGCTGGCGCCCGCCCGCCTCCCCGCCGCGGCCCGCAGGGTCCCGCCCCGCCGGCACCTCAGCGAGCAGCGGCCTTCGCCGGGAGAAGGCGGCAGCTGCGAGTGGGGAGCCCCAGGCTGAGGTGAGGAGAGGGAAGGAGGGAGGGAGGCACCTCCCCGCCGCGGGGTATGCTCAGGGAGAGCGGCCTGGGGGGAGAAGCGAGCACTCTCAACGGGCTGCATCGCGGGCTGCCTTCCTGAGGCGGCAGCAGTGCCCGGGTGCGGCCTTACCTGACGGGGTCCCGGGGGAAGCGGAAGAAGGCGAGGTCGGACTGGGTGCTCTTGCGGGTGCAGTTTGGAGCCGCGCAGAAGTTCGGCATGGTCCCGCGGGTTGGCGCCGCTGCCCCTTTAAATGCCGGAGGGAGGGGAGGGAAGGGGGGGGTGTATGTGGGGAGGAGGAGGACGGGGGGAAGGGAGGGAGGCAGGAAGGAAGGACGGGGCCGGGGTGGGGGAAGAAGCGGCTCTACACTGCTGTGAGCGGCCGGGAGGATTCACCGCCACCCTCCGCCGGGACAAGGGCCGCCTCCTTCCCACAGTGCACCGCGACCGGCGACCCGCCGGGCAGTGCCCATGCGCCGCGCTGCGACGGCGGCGCCCGGATGAGCGGTGCGCATGCGCGCCCCCTAACGGAGCTTCGGGCTCGGGTCCCTCAGTGGTAGGGAGAAGTGAATGAGCGGCCTTGGGTGTATTTACCTTAAAAATGGAGTTGGGATGTGGAATACAACGTATTCTGGTTTTCTGATGTATGTTTTCTTATGTCCTGCTTTTTAGGAAGGTGTTACTCTGAAGCCTGGATGGGTAAAGAAGAGAAGCTGCATGGAGACCTCTTAGCAGTTTCCGGTGTCCGAAGGGGGCTACAAGGATGCTGGGGAGGGACTCTTCATCAGGGACTGGAGTGATAGGACAAGGGGTGATGGGTTCAAACTGAAACAGGGGTAATTTAGATTGGAGATAAGGAAGAAGTTCTTTACTGTGAGGGTGCTGAGGCACTGGAATGGGTTGCCCAGGGAAGCTGTGAATGCTCCATCCCTGGCAGTGTTCAAGGCCAGGCTGGACAGGGCTTGGGTGCCATGGTTTAGTGTGAGGTGTCCCTGCCCATGGCAGGGGGTCGTAACTTGGTGATCTTAAGGTCCTTTCCAATACTAACTATTCTACGAACAAGGGATATGTTAAGCAATAAAGTAATCAAACAGGGAGTATGCCTGATGTGATGGCTTTGTCAGGTGTGTCAGAGGTGAAAGCAAGCTTAGGAAAAAGAAACAGGAGATGGAAAACTGGATGGTTGGAAGAGGAAAAAGAGTCATTCACCAATTACCTTTTGCTAGTTGTTTGAGGAATCATGGAATCAGAATGGTTTGGGTTGGAAGGGGCCTTAAATCTCCTACAGTTCCAACCCCCTGCAATGAGCAGGGACATCTTCAACTAGATAAGATTGTGCAAAAGTAGGTGAAGAAGCTATAAAATCTGTAAATGCTGATAGTAAATGATAATGGTTTCAGGTGTGGTAGTGCTGCAGTGTGGGAATTCAGCTGTGATACATCTTTATAGATTTTCAAAATCACATAAAAAAGCATCCTGACATGGAGATTTGTTGGGCTTTGGGAAGCGGAATGTAAACATGGGAAGTAGCCGAAGTCTTTGTTGTTTAAAAAAGTGCATAAGGGGAAATAAACCAAAAAAGTTACTTGTTTCCTTTTGCATGGCTTCAAGACCTGTAAGCTGTTTTGTATGTGTATAACAAAAGCTGTCTTTTATAGGAGAAAGCATTGCTGTCAAGTGCCTTTCAAACAAGGAGTCTCAAAATACATTTCATTGCAATAATTCCCATAACATTATTTGGTGTTAATTATTTGCCAGTATTCTAACTTGGGCATGGAGCTCAGTTAATTCCTTATCAGTAGTTTTAAGCAGTCATTTAAGCCAATGCTAAAGGTAAGTTTTGGTGCACCTGCCTGCTTTCACTTTACTGGGGAATCACCAGTGTTCATACACAGTGAACTGTGTAAGGGACTTAATCAGAAACTAACTCCTTTTTAAATACACTCATTTACCTTTAGGTTACATTTAGTTCAGGTAAATGCCATGTGATTTGCTGCACAGATGCATAGATGTTCACACTCAAGAAAGAGAGCAGGAGCATTTTAAATTGCAGTAATAGTTCAGAAGCATGGCTCTGTAATGTTATGGGACTTTTAAAACCTGTTTCAGTAGCAAAAACTACTTCTTTAGCCTTAAATAATATGAAAACTGAGAGTGTCTTCTGCCCAAGATTGAAGGGCCTTTTCTCCTCCAAATTCATTGCCAAACAAAAGCACGTGTGTGCTAAAACCCCTTCTCTACAAATGTGTTTAAGGTTCTTATCTTCTAAATGTGTATATATCTGTATATGAACTTTACTAATGAAATTAAAGCATCCTGAAGTCTGCTGGATGATGATTCTTATGAGGAGACAATTTTCAAGTGATTGCTATATAAAGGAAAGAAAATGAGCTTAATTCTTTTCAACAATGTTACTAAAAGCCCATTACCTATAAAGAAAATTAGTTTACTACTTAGTTGGAAATCATTAGCTTCTATTGGACAGTACAGAAGTTGCCAAACCCCTTATTTTTCCCTGCAGAATAGCCTTTCAAGTGCACATATAGAATCTGTATGCTGGTGATTTTGTGTCATAAGTAATACTCAAGACTAAAGTATTGCTGACAGCGTATTTCCAAGTGTGTCTTTGCCTGTTGACATTGAATGGGGATTGCATATTGTGTTAGTAACGTTGTACATATAATCTGTATTCTCTGGATAAATTTAAGGAATTTTGCCTGTTCACATGGATTTTTAATTGCCTTTTCACCCCTCACTATCTCTTAAGGTCAGCTGTCTCTTAAATCCAGGATCCCCTATTACATAATAGCAGTTGCAAAATGACTTCTTTAGTGTACATCTGGAATTGAGCTGCACGTCTCTCCCAGGGTGGAAGTCAGTGGGGCTTGATTGTACTGTTAAAGTATGATTGTGTAGGCCTGCAGGTTTCCTGCTATTAAAAATGTATTTGCAAGAGAATATTTGAAGTCTGAAATGCTTTCATGACTCTTACCACTATTGCATTTTCTTGCAAGTCATACAGCCCTGTTTTGTTGGCTTAACCTGTGTGTAAGAGCTCAACAGACATGAGGTTAATCCTGTGGAGGTGTTTTAGTAAATGTGTATCCAGACATGCTGAAGTTCACAATGACGGCATGAAAAACAAGATGCTTCTATCCAGGGTTTGCCTACAGTTCTGCAGAACTAACTCTTCATTGACAGTGGAGGGAAGGGATGGGATCCACAGGGACCTGACCAGGCTGGAGAGGTGGGACTGTGTGAACCTCATGGAGTTTAACACGAGCAAGGTCCTGCCCCTGGGTCAGGGCAATCCCAGCACAACCCCAGGCTGGGGGAAAGCGGATGGAGCAGCCTGAGGAGATGGACTTGGGGTTCTGGGTGAGGAGAAGCTCCCCATGACCCGGCTTCAGTGAGCACTTGAGCCCAGAACCCCCCCGTGTGCTGGGCTGCACCCGCAGAGCGTGAGGAGCAGCAGCTCAGAGAGGGGATCCTGCCCCTCTGCTGTGTGAAGGGGAGACCCCCCCTGCAGCCCTGATTCAGCTCTGGGGCAGCAGCACAAGAGGGACGTGGAGCTGTTGGAGAGAGGCCAGAGGAGGCCATGGAGCTGCTGCAAGGGCTGGAGCAGCTCTGCTCTGGAGCCAGGCTGAGAGAGCTGGGCTGGGTCAGCCTGGAGAAGAGAAGGCTCCTGAAGGGGAGACCTTAGAGCAGCTCCAGTGCCTAAAGGGGCTGCAGGAAACCTGGAGAGGGGCTTGGGACAAGGGATGTAGGGATAGGCTAAGGGGAATGGCTTGAACCTGTTCGAGATGAGCTCTTAGGCAGAAGCTCTTCCCTGTGAGGGTGCTGAGGCACTGGCACAAGGTGCCCAGAGAAGCTGTGGCTGCCCCATCCCTGGCAGTGTTCAAGGTCAGGTTGGACACAGGGGCTTGGAGCAAGTTGCTCCAGTGGAAGGGGTCCCTGCCTGTGTCAGGGGTTGGAGCTGGATGCGCTTTAAGGTCCTTTCCAACACAAACCATTCTGGTTTTGTGATTCTATTGTCCTGTTATCTTTGGAGCTGCCTTTGTTATCCCGTCTCTGGAGAGTAATCAAATACATCCTTAACAGTTGATAGACTCACTTGCTTCCCCAGCACTTACAGCACATCTAACCTAAAAATATTTAGTCAAAATCAGGAGCAAGTCATTCACTGATGAGTTGATGTGAACTGAAAAGTAATACATGGTCTGTTGACAAGTTAAAAGCGCTACTCGAGGGAGAGCACACAAGCATCCCTAAAACAGAACACAAATCACATCCCAGCATGGCTAAATTCTACTAAATGCTAATCTGGGATGTGTTTTTTGAATTGCAGAAGTGTGCTGGAATTAAGTGGGTTTTTATACATGTATGTGAGCACAGATAAGCACACAAGTCGTACAGTGGAGTGATAACTGTAATACTTTGCCTTATTCCCACCCTTTCTATTCTGAGAAGCGGCTGTGCTTTCTTCCCAGCAAGTTTACTCGTTCTTCACCAATGCACCACACTGCAATGAGGATGGAGGTTTGCATCAGCCTCCCTGTGTTGCACAGGGTACCAGCTTTAATTCACCTTTTGACATGGCATAAAACGACACAGTGAAGGGGTTTTTGTCATTATTTGAGGTTATTTAATCAAGTTATTGCCTCGGTGCAGTGAAGCAATGGATTTGAGCCTTGCTGATTTTAGGTACTTTGAGGAGTGAAGCTCTTATAATTTGTAAAATAACTGTATGTTGAATATAATGTGTATTACTTGTCATAAGGGAAAACTCCTGTTGACTTGCAACACAAACCTGTCTGCAGTGAAAGCAGTTGAAATAGCTTTGGATTTAAATACATGTAGGTGACAGTGCCTGTATCTGACAAGGCTGTGTGTAGAAGGCTCCTTTGGCAAGCCACTGGCACTGGAACATTGCTGAGGGTTCTGCTCTTACGTTAGCCAGGATTAAAAACGGGATTGGAAAGTGTTTAAGGAGGGAGAGTGAGTTTAGGAGCGGTCTGAGGGCAGTGGAATGAGATTAAAATAGAGTTGCTTATGTAAGGAAAACGTACTGAGTGACTGAATAACCTCTTAAGTGAGGTGATATGGTTTAGAGCGAGGTGTCCCTGCCCATGGCAGGGGGGCTGGAACTTGATGATCTTAAGGTCCTTTACAACCCTAACTATTCTATGATTCTAAGTGGAAACCCCATTGGTTAGGCCTTTAAATCAGAAACCATGAAAAAGACAAATAATTTCTTTAACTTCTGTTAGAACTGAGGCTATTTCTCTCATATGCAGGACAGAAAACACTTTAAATCATCTTTAAATTCCTTCCAGTTTTAAATCACCTATAACGCTGCATTCATCTGGCTATAAAAGTATAGTGGGTTTCTTGCTTCTTTCCTGAATTGCTGATAGACTGAGCCAAGTAATGTGTTTTTTTTTTCCTTGATTTTCCCATTTTCCTTTAGAAATAGGACTCTTGGATGCTGGAAATTCACCGATTACAGTAGACAAGGAGTAGCTGCGCACTGTTCCCATGTGCATAGTACCTCCGTGATGCACCTCTGTTCTACCTGGGAAAGGCTGCTCTGAAAAGGAAGGATTATGTCAGAGCCTGTATCAATTAGGTTGTAGCAATGTGAGTGGAGACGCAGTTAATAACCCACAGCAAGGCTGCTGTGCTCATTTCCTATGAGCTCCTGAAGAGCTGAGAGGCGCAAGCTTTATCCTGGTGACCTGGGCTGCATACAAATCACCTCCCTGCTCCTCCCTTGGGCCATCTCATGCTTCCGAGCTCATTGTCTTCCTCCTTCCGTTGTCTTTGGGGATAGAAGGAAGCGTGGTGAGACACACATTATTCTGTTAGTGGCCAGGGAGTTTAATTAATCAGAGCAGTGTCTGTAATTGATGAGAATCCTATTATTTAAGCTGATGAGGGATCTGAGGATGCCAGGCTGTAGATAACATAAAGGAGAGCGGGAGTGCTTGATGGTCACTGCATTTCTTTACTGGAAGGAGGAAGAAATTTTGCTTAACGGCATGTGTTTGAGCAAATTTTGGACTCCCCAATGTTGGACACTGTTAAGATTGGCCTGGACAGGGTGCTGGGCCATCCAGTCTAAGTCATGCTTTGCCTAAAAACCAGATGATCCTTGAGGTCCCGTCCAACCTGGGATTCTATGATCCTTAAGAAGAATACCGAGCAGTATGCTGTTATTATAACAATGTTTGGCTTTTGTATATCACCATTATTAGGTTTTAAATGCTTTATACAAGTGGAAAATGGAGGCCTGGAGAGGTGATACAACTCCATGTAGTATTGCTCCCCAAGTCACCATCAGATGAAGAGTACTTTGTGTCCTGATGAGTCCCAGTTTCATCTCTGCTGGCTGTGACAGGAATGCTAATGGTGAGCTGCTGTTAACGTATTTGCATCTAAAGTATTAGCCTAATATGACCAAAGCACAGAAAATCAGTGATTTCAGTTTTAATTATTTGACTTCTTAGCTCCCCTCGACCGCCAGAGAAAATGGATTATTACAAACTCCTTTGACCCCATGGGATTTTCACACTGTTGAGCACTGCCTCCTTAGGAAAGACCATGAAACACTGCAGCCCTTGGTAAGTTTGTCTCTTGGTTTACTTTGTGAACGGTCAGAAAGTGCTCTGTAATTTTGGACCTCATTAAATGATGACTCAGAGACTGAAGATGCAGGTAATGAGAGCTAAGAAAGTGATTAGCACCTAATAGGAAACTAAGGCTAGAAAAAGTGCTGGCATTTGCATATTCTGCGTTTTCTTCCTTTATCCACACTGAATTCCTTCATTTTATATAAATTTACTGAGAATATGTGGGAAATTCAGCTGTATTTCTGTATTAAAGAAATAAGCCCAAACCGTATTTGCTTTATTTTCATGGTTTTTTAGCCTATAATTGGAACACTCTTGACATTTTGTTCCTCACACATAAATAAATGCTGTTAAGTCTCAGGCTCCTTCAGGTGACCTCCCTTGATTAAGTTAGATGATCCAAGCTAGCTGCGTGAAGTCATTCTGAGTCCAGATAACCTTAATTTAGTCTTATGGAAAGATCAATGCTTCCCCTGGGACTTGTTAGTGCTGTACATCAAACAGAGCAGTGATTTTTATGGCACGGAGGGCCTTGACTCAGGGACACCTTTTACTAGAGCAGGTTGCTCCAAGCCCCTGTGTCCAACCTGGCCTTGAACAATGCCAGGAATGGGGCAGCCACAGCTTCCCTGGGCACCCTCATAGGGCACAACAGCCTCAGCACCCTCATAGGGAAGAGCTTCTGCCTAAGAGCTCATCTCAGTCTAAATCTAAATCCAAATCCAAATCTAAATTTAAATCTAAATCTAAATCCAAATCCAAATCTAAATCTAAATCTAAATCCAAATCTGAATCTAAATCTAAATCCAAATCTCAGCATCTGCTCCTCTGCAAGGGATCCATCCAAGTTGATCGACTACTGCAGAGCTCTGGCCTTGCTTCAGGTTACTTAAGCTTTATAGAACTGATTATTTATGTGTTTTGGGTGGGTTTTTTCCTTTGCCCACGGTATCCCAGCCCTCCCATATTTATGGGTAATGGAGAATTGATTGTAGGTTAGTCTGAGATAAATTGTGATGTTGCTGCCATAACTACAAGCAGAATTCAGCGTTTGGACTTTCTGGATTTAATGCATATTCCCAGCCCTAGGTCTTCTTTTTAATAAAACCAAGAAGTATTCATGTAAATCATCTTTAGAATCAGAGCAATCACAGCTTCAGACACTTCATACATAACTGGCTTGGTTTTTACATCTCTCTTCTGTTCTGCATGCTGAAGGAAATGAAGCGTATACTATTTCCTTGAGTACATACATATGTATGTATGTGGGTCAGTCCACTCTGCCCATAATAACTTTTGATCCTGTTGGTGAATTCCATCCACGTT